GGTGAAGAGTAATCATTTCTGGTCAAAGCAAAATAAATTGATAGTTTTAATTTTTAGTATCTATAAATTATTGTAATTGAAAACTTTGTGCAACCAATGGTTCCAACCACTGTCGGAACCAAAACATAAGACCGTTGGCTATTCTTTGAATATAACTTTTGATAGAACAGATATACAGTGGGCAATTTTGACTAGGCATCTGCAAACAGTACGAAAGTCTATAAACACGGTTTTTATAGGTTTTCGAATATGCTCTTCCAAATGGTGAGATTTTCGAAATCTAAAAATAATTGTTTCTGGGTTTTCGGAAGACCGGATCTCGAGAAAACCCATAGAAAATATTTTTGGATGTGGAAAATCTCACCATTGATGATCATCTCACCAAAATCTCAGCATATTCGAAAACATGTGTTTATAGACTTTCGTCCCGCTGCTAAAACGAACATTCAAATACCCATGTAAAATTTGCTGCAGTCATGCTTCTACGCTATGATTCAGTTTAATCGAAAACTTTCTGTAGAAAAATGTTTCAAATTATACATCATTTGATGCAGTTTTGATGCTGATTCTAAATATCACATTAATTCTAAATAAAAGTTTTTCTGAGCTGAGAAAAATAGATTTTACCTGAAAAACCTATAATTTGCAAAGGAGTATTTGTGTTAATTTGTGCTAACACTGTTAATAGGTAATATATAATAGAACATTCGATGAAAGTTTCATCAAACTTGCAGCTTGGATGTGACTGGNTGCAGGACCTTCGTTCATCGAAGAAGTTTGCAATGATTTAATCGCAGAAAAGAAATTAATCATTGACCTTTTCAATACATAGAGAGTTTGCCACTGGTTCTGAATATGTGGTTATTTTTCTACAAGCTTACTTTGGTTTTGCACATGATCTAGTTTTTCAAAAGCACCATTGTTTTCGATCCAGTCTTCCTCAGTGATTTTCTCACTGCTTGGCACTTAGAAAAAAGGTTCCAATGGCAAAGAGATAGAGCGTTTGCTGAAGTATATGACCTGCTATTCAAATTTCAAAAAATCTAACTTTCATTTTTTCACCTAATTTCCACGTTGTTGCCCACTGTGAGATAGAGACTTGTGATTTTCACCATTCAAAAGAGGAGATGTGAGGGAACGTTTTCATATGCGCAAATCTTTTTAAGTGTTTCTTCAAACACACTTTTCAGGAGTTCTTTAGAAAACCCGTTTGTGTCTCAGAAACTTCCAAGTGGAAGTGACCATCGTCCAATAGAAATTGATATCATTCAAACAATTGTTGGTTTGATCAATGCCGTCATGGATGAAGTTAACCTTGAATTACTCGGCTTTGATTTATGGTTATCTCGAAGTCTGGTCTTAGCTATACATACACACGTGTTGATGTTTTTAACAATTCTGTATTATATTGAACAACTACAGGATTTTCAGCAACAGCTAGAAACACTGCAGAAACAAAGGCCATCGTTACTTAATTATTTCATTAGTATGACTGTGCCCGATGTCTCGTGTGACAAAGATGGTGGAGAAATTTTTGATGATCAAGTTCTAAATACATTACGACGTGTTCTAACAACTAAAGAACACATAACTATTTCACAAATCGTGCAAACGTAGCAGATACTAAGTAGAAAAGACCTACAACAAATATGTGATGGAAAATTACAGACGGCTGATGAGAAATGGATGTTCAGATATATCAACCATCCATCGAAGAATTTCAAATAAAGTGGGACGATATTGAAAAGGAGATTGAAGAACACATTGGAACAGAAAGAATGTATTGAAAAGGTCAATGATTAATTTCTTTTCTGCGATTAAATCATTGCAAACTTCTTCGATGAACGAAGGTCCTGCACCGAAATTTATCGATGATCTGTTCAGCTCACCGAGTGGAACGACGACCGGAGAAAATTTAAAAAACAAGGGACAATGTATGGTACTGCTACTCTACTCCTATTTGAAAGACTTCCTGATTCAGTCAGTAAGACATTTAACTAAAGTTTGATCCTGGGCGATTTTTGCTTTTTGTTTTCTGTGGAAAGATAAGTGGCAAATACTCCACTGAATTAGGGTTATTTTCAGAGGTTGGACTTAAATACGTGTGGAGAATGAACGGAAGCGAAATTTAAAAATCGCCGCAGATCAAATTTTAGATTTCGGTGTCTACTTTAATTTAAATTCGCAGGTTTCTGCGTCTTTAAGCAGAATTTACAATTCGAACAGCTCTTACTTGATACCATTTAGTCGAGATTTGCTTTTAGTTTTCTTTAGTTAAAAAATTCTACTGCACTCTAGTTAGCTTTTTTATGCTCAACTTAATAATCATTAAAAAGAATTTTTTTCTACTTTTATTACTCAGTCTGTCTAACTGCTGTCGGGGGTCGCAAAAAGAAGAACTCGATTAATGTGACTAAAACCAACTTTCAGGCGAAAACGTTGGAAGAAAACTAGTCTTCTGTGTGAGTATTTATGCCGTCTGCAAACCAAAATAATGCAGAGACCCAGTCGATTTCACATTACCCAAAGTCTTCACCGCAGTACCAGCACCATTTGACTCGATTTCACTCAATTGACTTGCTGTTTCTTCTTGAGCGACAGCAGTGTATAATAAGGGATAAACCAAGACTAAACGAAATCCATGATGGGTGGGGTTTCTATTATAAAAGTATCTTTGGTTTGTCATAAATAGTTTTTTAACACATATGCAAGTGATTTTAACGGACGACAGTAGTTTTATTTAACGAAGATTTATCCAATAATACTGAGAGTCAATAAGACTATAGTAATCCTAGAGGTAAGCATATTCAGTGAAATATATTTCTTTTGATTTCATTTACAGGCGAATGTTCGTGAAACAATGTGAAACCAGATGATTGGGTAATGTTCATTAAAAAAGCTTTCACTAAACAATTTTTTCTTCATGAAAGTATTGGAACTTAAAATCAGTTAGTTTCAGCTGTCGTTGATCTAACTCGTTCAATTCCTTTGACCATTCAGCATATTCAACTTTATGACGATTTTTTTTTTCAACTTTATGCCGGTTAACATTAGAGGTAAAGCCGAGATTATCAAATACTACTTCGTCGCACAGCAAACATTGAACTGACCAATTTTTCTCATATTTTGTAACGTTTGTGAAGAATTTGTCGCGTGCATTTTTCACAACATCATGTTTTTTGGGTGTTACTTCACATGCGGACGTCGAAATCAAAGAAGATGTTTGTACTGTGGAAGAAACTAGAGTGGGAGAATTAGGGTTTCACAATAATTCTTACAGCTTATTTAGTTTTCTTTTCAGGTCTATTCACTCTTCATTTAGCAGTAAAAGAGTCATAATGCAACTTATGAATGACTCATCATGTCTCCTATAATATAGGGTATCAACTGGTCAATACTAGTATATTCAACAATTTCACACACATAATATGCACACGGATTTTATAAGAATTGTGCGGGAGCCCACTCACTTTCACTCCAAAAATGATCAATACAATAAGTGAATCACTTACAGAAATCATGGAAAATGATTCTACTTACGAGGGATCCTCCCCGGGTTGCAAATCGCTTTCGGGCTAAAACCTAGCGGGTTATAAGTTATCGAATATGCTGCTTACGAATATAACGATCATTTTGGCCGATAAGTCTTCAGAGATCGGATTTCTAGAAAACCAACTTTTCAAAAACTCTAAAAGATAACCAAAACCTTTTTTAATGACGCATAATTGTAGCCCGCAGATTTCTGATTAAAATGAGACATTTCCCAACTCTACACGATCTTTCTTTGCAAAGTTATAGAATTTACAAGAAAAGCCCTAAATTCCTTTCTTCTTATTTCTGTAGCTTTGAGTTGGCAATGAACATTTAGGGCTTTTCTGGTAAACTCTATAACTTTGCAAAGAAAGATTGTATAAAGCTGAAAGGGGTCTCATTTTAATCAGAAATCTGCGGGCTACAATCTTGCCTCATTAACAAAGGTCTGGGTTATTTTTTAGGAGTTTTGAAAACTGGTTTTCCGGAAATCCGGTCTCTGACGACCTATCGGCCAAAATGATTATACTCGGAAGCAGCATAGTCGATAACCTATAACTCACTAGGTTTTAGCCCGAAAGCGATTTGCAACTTGGGGAGGTTCTCTCGTTAGATCGTTCATATCATTTCTTTACATTAAAAATTCGAAAAAATGCACTCTGGAAATGACTTAAGAGATAGTTAAAATTAGAAATCAGTGAGAAGTCCATAAAAGCATTTTCGCAAGTAAAGTCAGAGTCATTAAAAGTTTTTGCCCAGTCAAGACTTGGACTTATTTTCGACTTGATTTGCCCAACTCCCTTCAAGCAACATCAGGTTTCCCGCCATCCTTCATATTTGTTTGTCAGATATTTCCTTACATTATCGAGGCCCTGTTTGAGATGGAGATTTCTGGACTATTGGGCTTGTCAGATGGACGATGATTATTTTGTGTTTGCTTAGCTCAAAGTGGAAAATATTCCTTTAGCTAAATGTTAAAATCTAATTTGAACTGTAAACACATGCAACTAATTGATTATGAATATAATCATGCTAGAATATGAGTTGAAACTGTTTATTTGTTTTTGTTTTTATTTTTCCGGAAAATCAGTTTTGTATCTTTGGACTTTAAGCCAATTTCAATACAAAAGCGTCATAAATAATGAAAAACAAAAAGTAGAAACAAAAAAAAACTAATTATTAACGACAACGTGTCTTTTCAAGAAATAATCTAATGATGGTATTGAATAACCGATTGATCCTGGTTTACCTTGAAATAAAATCTTTTCGTCATATAAAACATAAAGCCTTTCTGGCCAACCACTAAATAAATGATTTTTTATATCATCCATTGGATCGCTATAGATAAATATTTTTTTATCTATAGTAATATTCATTGTTTCTATCATTACTTTAATTGCATTTAATCGCTCATTTGTATTACGATGATTTCGTATAATGGATAATCCATCAAGGGCTTCCGGCAGACTTATTCTCATCTCATCTGTCATCTGTAGGGGCATTGCTAAGAGAAATTATCTGTTTCTTCGAGAGGTCAAAAACTTCTGAATCTTTGCTAACGGGATACGAGTTTCCAGGTACACGATTGTTTAGTTGGGTTCATATCTGAAAATAGCTGAACTACTATTATTAAAACCGAACGTTTAACGGTTTTAAACGATGCTGCACAACGAGCATCTTTCCACAGAGCAGGCAGACATCTGGTTTTTTGGGTAAAAAAATGATTATTTTCGCATAATATGCCTATATTATGCGTCAGATATTGTTTTAAACTTTTTTATTCCATCGTACCTTCGGGTGTTGCGTACCCATTTTTGCTGCAATGTGTCAGATATTAAAAGAACCAAGAAAAATCGAAAAAAGTCTTTTAGGGGGGACCCTTGTCCTGAATTTTTTTCGTCAAAAAAATGCTTTATTTGTAAAAGTGACAAATTATACATTACTCAATGTGGTTTTCTTGCTGCTTCCAAATATCACATTAGTTTTCATTAAAAGCGTTTCTGAGTTGAGAAAAGTAGATTTTACCTGAATAATTATGATTTATCGGAAACCATGTAGCTTGACTTGAGTAAATATGCGCATCTTTGCGCATTCATCCTAGATAGAGCACATATCCGGGAATATTTTAGTATATCTTTAAGTCAGTTTCAACCTTATCGAGCTTTAATGATGTCACTGCACTGCAAACAGTGGTTGGGAAAACAACTTCGCTCAAGAAAAACCTTTACTTAGCCGCTTGATTATGTCCTAATTAAAAACTTTTTTTGTAGTCCGATAGCTAAGAGTTTCTGGGTTTGAAATATGTCAAATTTATGATTTAAAATTGCTTTAATTGTAGAAAAAAATGACTTCTCCTAGGAGGTCGCTATTTTCTAGATTATATTTTGTTCCTTAATTTTTTCCAAAGTACCAGTACTTCGAACAAAAATTTTAGTGCCATTCGATAGTCCGTATATCAGAGTATATTTGGCACTATTTAAATTTTGAAAAAGTGTACTTTCGATTTTTCACTCGTAAATGTCCGCGGAGATGCCCACTGTCTGCTATTTGCAAGACGCCCGGCTTAAGAAATGTCAAACTTATTGTAAGCAGCGTTTAGAAAAACTATGTGGCGGGATTTAAGATCCAATAAAACACTTCACATCAAGCAACCCGTTACTTTAAGACTTTTAATTGAATGAATAAGGCATCATTTAAATCTATGATTTTTTTGCAAATTTGGAAAATACCATCTTTGATAAAGAGATCAAGTTTTTTCTGAGTATACATTAACTAACAAAAAATTTTTAACCGTAATTGTTCGTTTCTAATGTCACCTGTGTATAAATCAAATAGACATAATCAATGAAATATCATCATCATCATCTCCAAAGCATTGAAATTTTTGATATCCTGATCGGGATACAGATTCTTTTGAGATTTCAATCGGGATATCGAATTATATAATATAATATAATAATATTATATTATTATTCATACTATATTCCGTTCGGGATATTAAAAAAATTTTGCTGTAGAAAATGATATCCCGATTGGGATATATATATCTGAACTGGGAGTATCCCGATCGGGAATTTCATCTTTTATTCCTTGAGTAAATTCATTTGGCATTACATCATCATTATGCGTTCTATCTTGTTTGGCTAATTGTTTAAGCTTGTCAACAAAAGCTTTTTTCTTGAGACCTAATTACTAGCCAAAGAGACTGAATGATGAGTATTAAAGGGTTACGTATCATATATTTTATTGCTAAAATAATTTCGATAATTTCATCTTTTAATCTCACAAATCAGTACCTCCACATTTTTTATTTATTCGTTTAACAAGCTACAATACACCTATGGGTATGATAGTTATAGTATATATGTTGCTTAAACGAATATGATGACAACATTTATTTTGTGTTACACTATCTCTGCTTCTCTTTCCATATTTTTATTTATTCGTATAACGATGTACAATACATTTATGGGCGGGATAGCTATACTAGATATGTTGCCGAAAAGAATACGATAAGAATACTTTTTTTGAAACATCGTTTCTGTCTTTCTCTCTT